AGATGGCCACCAAGCATTAATTCCTGCATCATAATTCCATCAGCACCTTCAATTAAACATTTATTTTGGGCTACTGAAAATAACTTTTGCAACATAAAAACTAAAAGTTTAAGTTTGTCAAAATCGGTGTGCAAATGGATTAAAACATAACTCCTGGAAAAAATTGAAAATTTTAGCATTTAGTTACAGTTTTTATGAATATTATATCTCAAACCTGAGCATATGGTCGCAAACTTCTTTATTAGATTTCCATTCAGGCAATTCATAAAATCTAGGTCTGAACAGGATGCCAACATATTCCTTAGCATCTTCTTGACAATGTATATTACTTTCATGCAAGGAGCGCATCATTTCCATTACAGACCTTCAAAAAAATGTTTTAATGTTTTAATTGTTGAGAAAAAAATGTTTGATAATTTAGGTAAGAGTTATACACGTATAAATGATTTATACTGACAAACTACCTAATGAAATATAAATCATCTTCGTGTCCTTTGATAATGTGTCTAAATATAAACTCATCTGAACTGTTAGTAAGACACCTCATTATTAAAAATATGGGTGCATAAAATACTCTCTTCTTAATTGGGATCATTAATTTTGCAGTGCCATTTGTTAAATAATGTAAATTATTTGTCTGGAAATCAATTGTTTTAAAATAGGAAAATAATTTTTTAAATAAACATTTAAAATATATAATATAAAACTTACAACAGTTGTTAAATCATCTTTAACACATCTTATCATAATACCAATATCTGAAAAATATTGATCTTTATTTTTCCAAGTGTTTCTTTGAACAGCAGTTGGAAAATTCCTTCTCGTTCCTAACAAAAGCCGTACTAAACGTTCTTTGCCTTTAATTATAAAATATCCACCCCATTCATCTTGATGTTCTCCTATCTTAACTAATTGTTTAGGAGACATTTTTTCTAAATGACACAATTTAGACTAAAAACAAAAATTAAGACAAAATAGATTTATACTTGAAATTACACTATTTGTATTAAGTTACTATTCAACATTATTAAAATAAAATATGTTTCTTAAATTAAATCATCAAACAATAGTAATAATAAAAATTAAATTAAATACCTTTAACATTATTGGCACTTGGCCGATATCTCTGTCAATTACCATTTGTTCAACATCATTAATTCTCCAACTGAGTTTTATTTCAAGTCTTCCTGAATAAGTACCATGACGCTGCCGACATTCTAATGGATATATACTTTGTGATTTAACACCAATTGATCCTGTAGGTACTCGAGGTTGGTGAATAGCTGCTTCCTAAAAATATACAGATTTTATCACCAAAATTAAATATAAGTATTTTATTTGTCATCTATAATTTATAAAAACAATTTAGATGAAAAATTGATTAACATATTAAATTAAATAAATAAGTTCATTGAAGTTACATCATTAGGTAAATTCTTACATGTACAATTTTTAACAAATTATAAAAATATATTAATTACCAGTAAGGTGAGTTTCACGCGATATTTTCCTTTTGTATCAAATTCAACTGGTAGCAAATCAGAGATCGCTAAATTCAATCCTTCTTCAATCATATAATTAAAGGAGTCTATGTGTGGAGTACCCAATTCTTGAAGAATCTAAGAAATAATTTTCTAATATAAAATATGAACATTCATAAATAATTAAAATCCTTGTAATAACTTACTTGATTTTGGCAATTGGGAGGTTTTCCATAATCAACATTTGTTAAATTGTTTAGTGTTGGTTCATACATTTTTATTTTGTTTTAAATGTATTGAATATTAGTTAGTAATAACTATTGATTTAATAAGTCCATATTCTATAATATGTAGAGTGTAGACTGTAGTTAAATCACGGAATAGATTTAATCTATTCTGTGGTTAATTGCTTAAATAATAATAGGTACCTAAAAAAAATGAAACTAAAGTTGAGTCTAAATTAAATAATTAAGAAAACACGTGTATAATTTGAATTGTATATTTTCAATATTGATAAATATAAGATAACAGTTTAAACGTTATCACTAGAAATCAAGAACTTGTTATCATTGCATATTCCATAGCACGGTCTTAGATTCCATAGATTTCCATAGACACAATTTAAGAAATACAGACAGACAAAAAATTACAAGTCCTTCCTCTCCAACTTCAGCGTCTTCGGCGTGGGAATCTTGTCCCGTCTCGTCAACAAATGGTTTTTACCAACATTTTTATTCTAAAAGATAGGGTTTAATCAGTGTTGGGTAAGTTACTTTTTAAAAGTAACTAAGTTACGTTACAAGTTACAAAATAAAATAGGTAACTAGATTACTTGATAGTTACTCGAGTACAAAAGTAATGCATCACGTTACATTTTTTACTCAAAAGTAACTAGTTACAATGACGTTACTCTTGTGTTATTTAAGTTTCATAAAAAAAAAGTCTTTTTTAAATCAATCTTTTTTTATATTTATTTCATACAATAATGTATTTTCAAAATTTTGATCAGTTATTCTAGCTCGTTTTTTCGTACAAATGTCTCCAGCTACACTAAAGAGCCTTTCAACAAAAGCTGAAGAAGGGAGTGACGTATTAAACTTTACAAACATTTGTTTCATCATAGGTAAACTATTTAAAAATTTTAAATCGCCTGTATAAACTGTATTATAATTGCGCTCCACTTTACCATAGGGTTGATCAGAAACTAGGTTAAAATCAGTTAAATTGAAAATAATATTAACACAAAATCGTATATTTATAAAATTATATTAGATTATACTGTGAACATTTTGTAATTACATAAGTACCTACTTAAATTATTAATATAATTACATTTTCTGATGCGGATATGAGGGGAAGGACTGTCTCGTGAAATAGCACCACGATAGTATCCCAGCCCCGAAAAAAATTTAATTTATAATGTAATGCGTTCTTTTGCTAAGTTACTTCTAAATAATTAACGTAGTTTAGTTACTCTTGCGTTACCCAAAAATAATAATAATGAAGTTACCATAACGTTACTGAAAAATGCAACTATGTTACAGTAACGAGTAACGCACGTTACGTTACTACCCAACATTGGGTTTAATCTACTTATTAATTGACAGACGTTTTATAAGTTTCACATAAATTCAGACTTAGTAACAGCCCATTCCGTCTACAATTTGAACCATGTTTTAGCTCCATTAACGTTGGAATCCTGTCGTTTTTCGTCAATAAATAATATTTTATCCCAATTTTTATTCCAAAAGGTGGGGTTTCATGTGTATTAAATGTTTTTATACGTTTTTTATGTTTTAAATCATTCATGGACCATATTCTGGCAACTATGTCGCTGTAATCGTATCACGTACTTTTTTTTTAAGAATACATATTTTTTGCTTATATATTTTTACTTTATGTAAATGTAATAATAATATCTAATTTAATTAATCTAGTCTAATTAATAATAATATAACCGTAATATATTTAAATGTATTATATATGTTATTGGTAGTTGGTACATAGAAAGTACTTATTTCGCTGGGGTTGTGCAGGCAACTCTGTGTCTGTCATCAAGTTGGAATGGAATCGGTCCTGTCCCGTCTCGGGTTTTGGAATAACCCAATTTAAATCGTGGGGTCTAAAAGTTTGAAAATTTAATACAAGAGTCATGATGTATTTTTATAATAGCAGTTGTAAAAGATTAAAAATGTATAGGCAATTTTATTTTATAAGCATTTAAAGTTCAAATTCTGACAATATTTATTAAATTCAAAATTTTGAAAGTTTTCAACTTTTATTACTAAAGATTGAAAACTTAAAACAAGGTCGCATATGTAATTAATTAATTCTGTAACCAACAAATTAAAAATATATATAAACACATTTTTTTTAATAGTTATTTTATTTTCAAATTTGAATGAAAATACATATTTAAACCAAGAATAACAATTTTAGTTATTTTGTTGTAATTTGAAAATATTATTTGTGGATACTTAAAACTTTTAGAGTAGAACAGTTAAATTTACAGAAAACACTTTACACAAATTAATGATTACTAACAATTAATATACAAAAAAACAAAAATAATACTAATTAATTTCTACTATTACTATATTCTGCAACCAATGGCAAATATTTATAAACACTGATCCCATGCAATTTATTGCCCGTTAAAAATACCGTCTCCATATGCTCCAAACTTTGTTCAATTTGTTATTTAATCTTAAGTGTAATGGTGTTGAGAAAAATTCTCATTAGCCAATTATTAATTGTGCAATACTTTGAAAAAGTGTTAATTTTTGGAAAATGTTTTTTGAGTGCACTTACATGGGTACAAAAGATCCGTGAAAATTACAAGCCTAAAGTTATCCTATCAATTATCCTCAAGCTTTTAGTAGACGAAAAGTTAGTAATATGATTAACATTTTTACTAAGTTATATTCTTGGTAATATGGTGAAAATTACAATTTTATCAAGGGGATAGTAAAATCTTAACAGGCATTAATAAATATTTCTAGAATTGATGATTTTTTTTAAATAATTAAATAATGTTTATTGAAATTTGAATGAGGGAGTTGAGACGAATGTGAAACCTAAGAGTGTAGTATATAATACATTTTAGGCTTATAACAATAATAAGATAAAACGATAATGACACATGTGTAAATTGTATATTATTATTACATTCATAGTAATCATTAAGATAAAATATAATAAATAAAATTGAATTTAAGTCGTATAAATGTATAATAAATACATTGCATAGTGAAATGGTAGGTACATTTTAAAATTATGTTATCACAATTTGTTTACTTATAAGTTATAGATTGAATTATAATTATAACTACATACATCAAGTATTTATTTCACATACTAAAAATAATGTATATTATATGCATATTTTAATACATTAGTTACTTATTAGTTATTAGGTACTAAATTAAAAGAACATAGTAACAGCAATACAAAACATTTGTCTCTGTCTAACTATTGCATAATATAGCAAAACGTAAGTCCTGAAGTTCCAATTCTGTGTTTTTATCCTTAATATTAGAGAGAATTAACATAATAACATACTATCAAAGTTGAATGTAAGAACATTAACTGCGTTTTCTTGCTGGTTTTTTACAATACTTGAATTTTCAAGTGACTATAAGTCCATAAATTATCAATATTTGAATATACTCATAATTTACTTTAAAATTCAAGTATGATAGAAAACCAACTAGAGAACACAGATAATGTTATCACATTTACTTTTATAATAATTTAATCATCTCTAATATTTATGTTAAGGTTAACACACAATTTTAACTGCTAGAATTACATTTTGATATATTGAGCGTTATAAGACAAAGACAATGTGTGCAGATATTAATATATTATGTCCCCTTAATAAAATACTTAAAATGGTAACTATAGTTTATAATAGATAATACATAATCCTAATATCTTAAGTAAGTTTTTGATTAAACTTCTCTGGTATAATGGATTTTAATACCAACCAAGTCATATAAGCAGTCATGCCCCATATTCTTTTATAGTCATTTGTGTATACTGGAATCTTCATTAATCTGTTTGATTGTTGTCTGAAATATGTATGTTTACAATTAGATGGTATGCAAAAATGCCTTAAGGGAACAGCAAATGCATACTGTACTTCTTCACTAGAAATATTTAAATTCTCTGGTTCTATAACACCAATATTTCCTAAAAATGGCATAATTGCTATGTCTTTAGAAACAATAAATCTACCACTTCCCCAAATATCAATACTGGTTTTGCTTATTCCAAGTTCTTCACAAGATTCTCTCAGTGCTGTATCTTGTAGTTGTTCATCTGTTTCACGCATTCCACCAGGGAAAGATACTTGACCACTATTTCTTTTTAAATTATTTGTCCTTAATGTATACAATAAGGATATTTCATCTTTAACAATACATAATGGAATAAGAACAGCAGCTTGACGTTTACCATCAGTATTCAGTTTAGGACATAATGACTTAAAACATTTCACAGATTTTAAAGAGTTGTTTTTGGAAAATATATCATGAGAATTAAAATGTATTTTTCTGGATGAATAAGTATTTGATAAGAATCTTGAAAGTTTTGAACATATCAATTGTAGAGGCTGCATTATAATATTATTTATATTATATTATAAGTCACTTACTTTAGTATAATGAAGTCATTTAAAAAAAATGTATTTATTAAATGTTAGTAAAATATTAAAGTAAATAACACGATACATTTTTAAACAAATTGTTATACTATAGTAATATCCTCATTCCACATGTTCACTATTCACATATATTGAAATGTTATTGAATGTTTAGTACATAGTATGAACTTAAGAAAGGATAACTCACTATTCGTACTAGGTACCTATTATTATTATTATAATTAATCTTTAAGTATATACAAATTATGAAAATTACAATAGTAAAACAATATATCTGAGAAATAAGTGACTTATGGTATGAATTTCTTCAAGTTAACTAAAGTCTAATATCAGTAATATCTAAATTGTATTTTATATTAAAATTTAAAGGTCAGTAAAGAAATTTATTGTGCAAACCAATTATTAAACGTGCAATATTGACATTCTAATTTCTAATTCATGGCAACATGGCATAGCCATATTGGCATTTGGCAATAATACTTTTCCATATCATTGTCTATTAACATTTGAGTATTTGACACCTCAATGTTATCACAATATGATCAATCGTTTATGTTAGATACCAACATACCATTGATTTAAGCCTTGATCATCTGTCTAATTATAATCTACATACATATCTATAATCTATATACCTATTCTGTGGTTTAAATTTTGCTTGTTTATGTTGAATTATCATAAAATATTTTAGCGTTTTATTTATGGTCACACTGATTACGTGAAGAAAGTTCTCGATTGTACTAGGTATTTTTTTTATTAGGTTCAATTCAAGTGTACAACAAAAACACAAGTGGTAAATAGTAATTTGTACAACTGTTTCACTGACATGCAGAGAAACTAGAAATCACAATAATTTTCGATTTTTAATTATCACATCGCGCTGGACGCTGAACGCTGTTTGTTCTTTTACTTGGTAATCATCGTATGATTCTAATTTCAATTTTCAATACAGTTTTATCTTGTGAATGCAGTATTGTGCGATCGGCTTGCGTTTAAAAATTAGGATATCAATAACTGGGTGATTTTTCTCTTTTCGTCGTATATCCAGAATCGTAATTCTCAGTGAACCACTTTGAATCCTACAGTCAACTTTGCAATTGTTTTACTACAAAGAAGCTAACATGTTTCCCAATGCATTGACGACGGACATGTTTGGAAACGATAATCCATACAGGTATGTGTAATGCTTAATAATTGTTGTCTTTTAGGTATGGCTATGAATTATATATGTGGGATAACAAATATATCATATTTTTAAAAAATCTGATGTAGATTTGCTCATTTGTTACCTCGATTTATATCTATAGATTTTTTACTATACAGTAATTTATTTATATTTTATATAAAGGTACAGTAGGGTAAATTCAAAATTTTGTTAGGATTAGTATATGTATTAGTTTGAGTGAGGATGTGATGGATGGTATAAACTTAATCTGCGTGTTTTCTGCCCAGCATCAATTGGTATGTTCCTGTCCACTAAGATCTATTCTATTCTTTGGCCCAAAATTAATTAACAGCTCATTTTTTGTATTTAAACTGGTTTTCTTCACATTTTTATGTATATATATACTTCAATTCTCACACAGCGGCTTATCCAGAATTTTTTTTTTAAGTAAGTCGGAAAGAAGATAACAAAATGTACAATAGGTAATGTGCCTTGTAATGTATATACAATGTAGGTCTTTTCAATCTACATGATTACCTAAGTATGTACCTATACCTAATATCTATAACAATTATTCTGTATATATTATGTTTTAATGTTTATAACAGTCAGGTATTATATATTGTGACCATAATTTCTTTGCCGGGGGATACCTAGAGTTTTTTAGAATTGCTGATACTGATTGGATAAAATTACTAAACACTTTGGTACTAATTAATTACTGCGCTGGTTTAAAAGATGATAGATCAAATTTCATGAGATTTTAATCCCCCTACTGAATGTGCCGCTGCTCCATAGGCGGAAATCCATTAGAATTTCTGGGGGGGCTAAACTAAAATAAAAACTATATTCAAATAATTTGATAGATATCGAAAAACAAAGAAACACATTGTGTCGCATATTTTGTTGAATTGAATCTGAAAGCATTTTAACAGCCTATAAGTACACATAAATACAACAAAAAAAGACCATTAAAAGAATAAAGTTTATTAAAATTATTGTAANAATATAGGTTAAATATAAATTACTTTATTCACCTTAATATCACCAAATATACTTAGTAATACCATAAGCTGACTGACCGTTTTCGCTCAGAATCGTTTTTCTTATACAATGATATTATATCATTGAATTCAAATTCAACACCATCCATACAGTGACCCACTTGTAACGTACTGTACAGCAAAGCGACACCTATTTACCCACCTTTTTAATTTTGTTAATTCAATAATATTATCACAATAGATAAACAATATACATATTATATATTATATTGTTTATAGGTTACATTACTGTGTTTTGTTATCGCTACTATTTTAGTATACATTTAAATTAATATTTTGTACAAATATCATAAGCATTAATCACATAACAAGAGTTTTATTGTACTGTAATATAGTGTGATGTTATTGTAAATTACAATTAAATATTAATGTAATCGAATAATGATCTCAACCATAATATTATGCTGTATGCAAAAGTAGGTATACCTTATTAAAGTTAATAACACGAAATTAGTTCTGTTGAACGTACATTTGCAATATTGAATGTATATCTACACTAATTATGCAAATCGAACATATTTTATGGATTTCAGTCCTAAATAGTAAATAGTAAATAGATAGTAAAAATCGGATCTGCAGTTATAAGGTAAAGGAAAATAAAAATTTTCAAAAACCGTTCTTGATACCGATAAATTTTAAAAACCGATCTTAGAGACTTAGAACCTATACCAAAACCATAAAATGTAGAAAACCGTTCTCAAAAACCGAAAGCGTAACCGTTAAAATTTGAAACGGTTTCGATCCCTGGTAAAATCTTATGAATTAAATTAAATTTTTATCATAGAATATTTTTTTTATTTTGTAATTCAGATATTAAAAATTAATTTTTTAATTATTATAATTATTGTATATTTAGTCACATTAAAATTGTGAGGGCCAGGGGGGCTAAGACCTGCACTTTAAACTTCTGGGGGGCTTAGTCCCCCCTAGCCCCCCCCCCCCCCATTTCCGCCTATGCGCTGCTCTCACAACCAGTCTATACTTTAATCTGCCCACCAACAATATCTCAAATGCTCATTAAAGTTCTATCCGATCCTGATTTTGTCATCACTCATCAAACAACACTGACCATTGTTAACTACTATTGTTAGACGAGTATTGTTTTTTAATTTTGGTTCGAGTATCAATTATTTTGAGTCAAGTTCAAAAGTCGAGTACTCGACAAATTTCAAGTATGCGAAAAAAAGTTTGACTACTGGGAATTGCTTAAGTATTTTAAATTGTACCAGCATTTGGGTTCTTTTGATTATTTATAGTGTTTTTAATTTTTAATTTTTTAAAAGTAGTTATTAGTTTACCGAGAGCATGTTTATAAAATATAAAACTTTATTTGTATTTGATAGTTTTTGTTTTCCCCACAAATAAAGTCCATAAGAACAAATTTGTTTTCACACATTCATGTGGGGTTAATTTGAGAATAAAAGTGATATTACTGAATTTATTTTAAATTTACCTTAAACCACCACCATCTTGAAAATCATTCTTTCATATTATATTAATTCTAAAAGTATACCCACTTACCTACCTACATTATATTAGGGTCTGTAATTAAAATTGACCATTACTCATTATTAATACCATTAAATAGACTATAAATTTGCTCTTTAATTTATTTAAATATAAATTTTATAGTTACTAAGTTTATATGACTTACACTGGGTTGCATAAACAATCACTAAACATTTACTGAATCATTAGTGGAATCTAATGGTAGGGACTGAACATGAATTACTGGTCCATTCAATTTTAGTCTGTAGTGAATCATTAATTTATTAATCAATGATTTTGCCCCCCGTCATAAGCGTGGCAACTTAATAGTTAATTTTAAAAAAAGCTAAACAAAATAAATAATTTTTTGTTTCCATGGGATTTATAACAGTATTATGATATTAAATATTGACATTCATTTTAATAAATAATTTAATAACTATTTTATTTTATTCAGAAATTCGATGCGCCAAATGGACCAAATGATGAATTCATTTTTTGGCGGATTTCCTGATCCAATGGCTGGCATGATGATGCCATTTGGCGGTGGAATGTTTGGAAATTTTGGTTCCATGATGGGTAATATGAATAATCCTATGAATATGATGGTCAGTGGTAATCACCCTGGTCAATCATTCAGCAGCAGCAGTAGTACATTTATGTCATACTCATCAAATGGACCAAATGGACAACCACAAGTACTTCATTATTGTTCAATATGTTAAAGATATTTTATTTATTTATTTATATTTTCTAGGTATATAAAGCTTCCACTTCTACACGTACCGGTCCAGGAGGAGTAAAAGAGACAAAAAAAGCTGTTAGCGATTCAAGGACAGGTGTTAAGAAGTTGGCTATTGGGCATCATATTGGAGACCGTGCACATATTGTTGAACGTCAACAAAATTTATATTCCGGAGACCAAGAAGAAAACCAAGAATATATTAATTTGGATGATGGTTGGTATAGTTGAAAAACAAAACAAAATAAAATCTAAATAACTATTACTGCTAGATATAATGTACTCTTATCTTCATAGAAGCACTAGTCCAACCATTTTTTGGTAAGAGGACTAAAGCTGTTCCTTCCCTATATTTTTTATAAATGACATATTATTATGGTTTGTGCTAAATACTAACTTTTGAATGGGGGGTATAAGATTATATTCAACATTGTATAATTACAATACTACTTCAATTTGATGTCGATTAAGGTACCAAATAATTGATATCTTAACTGTTTTTTTTAATCCATTTTAATGTGCACTAATCATTTTTTCTTATAGCAGTGTTAATATATCAACCACACAAGGTTGTGCTCGCCTATCTATTGGTTTTACACAAGATTTGGAAAATACATTAAATTTTTTCTTAATCCCTAAAAAATGAAAGAAAAAATGTATAAATATTTTTAAACTAATTGTTAGTGTAATTTTCTGTCATAATTCACTATTAAAAATTCCATTAAGGTTTTTCTAAAAATAAATTTACTTTTCTTGAATATTGAAATTCCACTGTTCAGACAAAATTACATCATTGCCTCTATTCTAATATTATTTTACTGAATTACTATGCAGTACTCCTTACATACGATATAGTCAAATTTAATGCTTTCGTATTTGTAGTTATAACATTTAGCTACTTCAGGCTTATTTCCTGCTCTGATATATAGCTTGAAATGTTTTTTATTGCTATTTGATATAAAATACTATATTTAAAACTACTTAGGAATGATTTATTTTAGACCTCCATGTTTGTAATTTTTTACTTTTCAATGATAATAAATGCGTTTTACATGAATATTTTTTTATACAATGAATGACTTTACTTGAGAGTTTTCATTTTTAGATGAAGCTGAAGAGTTCAACAACGAATGGCGCAGTAAAGCACAAAACATAAATCCACATCGTAGCCGTTACTTGCCCTACACTCATAGGTATGTTTAATATATTTTTATTTTATATTATCTCTTAAACAAATATTAGAGATTAGTAGATATTATTAGTTTCAAATGAACTTGGTACAATAAAATAGCTCATAATTGGATAACATAATTTTTAAACAAATAGTCAATCTACATTACATTTAACCTAGTAAGTATTTTTATTATATCACGTAAATAAATAATGATGAACAAATATCTAAATGAACAATATTTTCATCACAATTAACATAATTCATATAGAAATATATTATATTCAAGTATAAAATATCTCACAAAATCTTAACTTGACATTTTTAATATTGTTTTATAGTTGATTAGCATTTTGCATCCTAGTATTTTTAATTACTAAGAACTCTTTTATTTAAAAATAAACTAAAGTATAAAGTACAATAAAAGTACAGTCTCATAACTCATAACATGTTTTTTGCACATAATATTTTTCTTTAACCTTGAAATATTCTTTTTATATGCAAAGCAATTGTATAAATCAGTTCATAGGCAAATGAATCGTCAAGAAAGCTTATTCAACTGGAGCTGAATACTCTCAGTAAAAAGATGTATAAACATAAAAATCCGGTCTCTACTTATGAAAGGTCTTTTTTTTTAATTTTCAATCCTAAATTTTAATAATTAAAAATATTGTACTTTTTAACTACAAAATTAGTTCTGTTAATTGCTCCATTCAGAATCTAAAAGGTGGGTAAGTGGGTCACTAAAATGGATGTGTATTAACAGGGGCGCCGGCAGAGAGGGGCCAGTGGGTGCTAATGCACCCACTGGAATTTTTTTTATAAACCAAAAAATCAGTGTATAATAATGTAAATATGTCACATAAATTTAATTTTGCACCCAGTAAGATGATTTTCTGAGGGCGCCCTGTGTATTAATGTGTTAAATTTGAATTCAATGATATGTCATTTAAAAAAAAAATTGATTGATTTTCAAAAAGTGAACATTATAAACATTTTTTTAAAAAATAATTTGTTATTGATGTTTGTGATCATGTCAAATTTTGTCAATATTTGGACTTTAATGCTTATAAAAAAAATAGTGCCCGTGCATCTTTAATATTTTTAACCTGCTAATAACATCTTATGAGAAACCCTATATTACATTTTCAAGCTTTCTGATAATGTAAAAAATTATTTTTCAACATCTAAAGAAAATATTTTCTTGATAAAATATTAGTATACAATGTTTTGACTTTTTGTGTCATTTGTATATATATTTGACATTTTTTAATTTTTAATTTATCTACGATTTATATTGATGATAAAATGTTTGTTTTGTTATTAACAAAGCTTAAAAATTGATTTCAAGGTTCTTCATAATATTATGTTGTTCTCCCCACATTTAAAAAATATTAAAAAAATATAAAATCACAATAACTGTTTTATAATTGTTTGAATTTCAAATTTTAACAACATTTGGCACAATCACAAAAATATATTTTATTTTTATAATATTTATACAATCTATACTTTTTAGCATAATAAGTGAAAAGAGACAGGTTTTATTTTAAATTGTTAATTGTCATGCCTTCGCCCAATTATACTAGTTACTAGAGAAGGCTAATTATGTGATTTTCATAATACCTATTAAGATTAATTTTAAGCTATTGATACCATAAACCTATTCACACCATGTCATGAACTTATAATATAATAATCACTGTGTATTTTTTTTTTTTTTTTAATTTAAGCTTCGGCAACTGAGGCCATTAGCTGTAGGTTGTGGTACTGTAGGGTTATGGAACCACGTGTGTGTTTGTTTGGCAGAATTTCTAGTAGGCACCCGTAGGTTTCTGCCATGCCAGGTTGGGGGATGACGGCCTCTCTCTCCAGACACCGTGACTGCCCGGAGAGAAGTGCCGCCTGTGACCGAGGTTCGAACCGACGACGGTGCGCGTTGCAACCGACGCGTTATCCGCTCNCTTCGCCCCCCCCCCCTCACTATGTATTATATCATAACATATGTGATTTGTTTTGGGGAACAATTAGTTCATCTCACCATATTACTAATATATAAAATATCCTGTAAAATATATGCTCAGCAACCATCTCTACTGAAAATTGTTTTTCTTTCTGTACTATGATTTATCATTGAATTTAAATTTAACACATGTTATATTATGAGACAGTGCACTCAACTCCTAATATACAGCAAAGACTTCCTTTTTTTTTAAATTTGATTTATAAATCTAGCATGGTTAGAAGATTAATTTTAATATGTAATTGACCATTGAGGGATGACATTTTTTTATGCAAATTAAGTTGATCTATGTTTATGTTAAAATTATATCACTGCACTATTATTTAATTTTGCTTCTTAAGAATTTAGATGTACCTGTATATTCTTTTACACTATATTTTTAGTTGATTTTATGTTTGTACACACTGGTATTATTTTTTTTTTTTGATTTTATGTTTTATTAGAGTTCAAAATTCTTCAGTTCCTTTAAAAAGGCATCTCAAGGCATTACCTCCTCCTCCTCCTTCAACATCACGTATCAGGTATGTGTAGTTATTATACATGAATCATTTAATATTATTTTTTATAGTATGTATAGGATAGGAGTGATGAATGTGTTAGTTGGTTTTTACTACATCACTAATTATAGATGTTGTTATTATTATTTATACCAATAATAAAATGAGTTCAGTTGTACTCAATGCCATAAAATAATTAAATATGTTGTTTGTTTAGTTTAAAATTAATATATTTCCTTTAAAAAAGTTAGAAATTATTGCTGTATAATGTATATTATAAAATAAAGATTAAAGTATGGCACTCAGTGGTGTGCTGAATACTTCCAAAAGTTTTTCAAGACAAATTACCTCGAGTTTAAAATAGATGGGTTTATTATACAGTAAAATATTAAAAATACAAAATTATATAATATGACAATGTAGTTTTTTTTTGCTTTGTAAAAAATATTTAGGGTAAGTGCATACTTCATTTTTTGTCTTGCCTCAAGTTTAAAAATGATTCAGTATGCCACTGGTATTATTTTAAATCATAAGACAGTTTTATCAGGTGAGTTGAAGTTTAAATTAAGTGTTTATTTTAGCATGCTATACAATATACATGTTTGAATTTGTTATTTTTAAACCTATACTGTAGGCTTTAATTCTTCTGTATTGATTTGACATGTTCAATTAAATATTTATCTGATAAATTTGTCTCACATTAATAAGTGGAAAGCAGATGCATAAATTAAGATTTAAGGTGAATAGTAAATTAGTTTGAATAAAATAAAATGCATGTTTTATGCATACAAAGAAATATTAGACATTCTGTTAAGATCTAAAAAACAATAAATAGTCAATATCAATGTCTGATATGCTCTATAGTATCATATAATAAGATACAAATTTACAACTATTCTAAACAGTAAGGATAAGACACTCCCATTATCTTGGTCACAATGAGAGCGTGTCTTTAAATTTGGATGAATGATTAAATTATTTGAATATAACAGCTTGACAGTAACCAACTGGGGTAAATGTATTTAAAATATCATGAAACTTCTTTGCATCCAAAAATAATTAGTGTGCTCAGCCCACTTACAGAATGGACCAAGATTGACTAAAAGAAGAGTGTATACCTATATAGTAGCAAATAATTTAATTAACCCACCCATGGGTGGTTCAACCTTTTGCAGTTAATGGGCTATACACCACATTTATAAACACTAGAGGGGCAGCCAAAAGAGAAGAAAAAATGTTTTATTTTCTTTATTTTATAACAAACATATTATAGTTGTATAATATAATAAACAAGTTATCACATCATAGAAAATTAATTTGTAGACTAGTACTGCCAGCTCCCAACGCCCAAAGTTTTTTTTTTAAATTCATCACACTTAAACACTAAAATGAAAAATTATATGTCTTCTTCAGAGTGCTAAAAATTGGCTTGAAAGGGGAGAGGGAAGCTACGTGTTGGGACACCCTGGATTTTAAGACATAAAATAAATATAATCATTCATTTGAAAAAAAAAACAAATTCTTTTGGCCTAGTGGTAGCGAGAGTGAAGATATTCATATTTATTTAAACTTAAACATAAATATATTTTGTTTTTGCAGTGAGGTGTTGGCTGTAGAAGGTCATCAAGATCAAGGAAGAAAACGTGCAGCCAAGCAGCGGACCCCTAAAAAGATCGAACAATATCCTACAAATGATGCCTAAATTAAGCTAGCAAGTTATTTTTTTTTTACTCTTCATTAAAAATATATAATATAGAATTTTACACTCTCATTGTATTCACAAATTATATTTCAAACTGTGTTCCATATAATAATTTTAAGGAAAGGGTGTGAAAGAGTATGACATTTAAATAGGATATGTTTAATATTGTAATATTAATTATTTTATAAGAATTTTAAGCTGAAAAAGGATTAGACCATTCTTAATGTTCGGTAATTATTTTTATTTTCTTTACTTAATATGTGAGCGATTTATTGATTTTATAGTTTTCAATTTGTGATTCTTGCTGGTAAAGCTTAGCTTATAGTTAATACTTATAATTATAATAATCTTATAAATAAAAAAACGAATAATTTGTTCAAAAAAAAGTATTTATTTTCAAATCGAACTATCCTTGTCCATAAATATAACTTAAATGATAATATAATGAAAGAAAAAGTTACTGTATAATATTTAACTAGAAAATATTCTATCTAATATCACTTATGAAAATAATAATTTAATAAAAAAACGTAAAAGAAAAAAATATAATTTTTATAAAATTGTGAATGCTAAATTAACCGGATAAATTGTAATTATTAACGCCTTCATTATTGTTATTTTCATCAACTCCAAGTTTGTATATATCATCATTAATTTTGCACATTTGATCGAGAAAATCTTTGTCTTCTAATATTTTTGCAAGTGCAGACAATATATTACAAAACTGAACCTTCGTCATCTTAAGATGTTTACTACTTGTATCTAATATCTTCTCGACATCATTATCAACTTCCTAAAAAAATATTAAAATTGAAATAAACAAGATACAATTTAACATTCAATTTAGCTTTCTTTACATTTAATGTAATAAATTTAGCAGATGGAACTTTAATTCGGTGTTTAATTGTTGAATCTTGGTCATCATCACAAAACAATGTAAATGTGGACTGTAACGCTGCTTTAAAATAGACACCAGCCAATAAATGACCTTTTCTATCAGTGGCCAATAAGCTTCTAAAGTTGTAAACTAAATTTCGACGTTCAGTGACAGACACTGGTGAATGATAAGACGCCCCTATATATACCAAGTTGGTTTCTGGTTTTGGTGATCCATTCCATACGGACCATTGCACATACTTTTCACCAACCATTGTTTGATAACAATACTCTTTTTGCGGACAAGATGATGGCACAAAACGACCTAATAAATAAACCATGATATAAGTTAAAATAAATAATAGATATTTTTAGATAAAATATTTACCAGTATGAGGATATTGTTGATCAATCATTACAGTTACGACTCTTCCAATTTGATAACCTGGATCCAGCAATATCACACCACCACGACCATTGATTTCAATTTGCATAGCAACCATAACATGTTCTTTATCACTTACCCATGGGTCTGGGTAGTCATTACTTATGTATCCTTCATGACTCTATTAAAGAAAAAATAAGGTTTTTAGAAAAAATGTACATCTTTACAACTAGCATAAAGTGAAAACTAACCTCTATAGATTCTTCACAAGATACCAAATAAAGACTATCTTTAACACCAGGAAATCTGTTTTCCAACAACGCTAATTTCCCAATCAATAATAAACCAAGTCCCACACAAGTATTTGCATTTTTAGTTAATGGTGGTTTATATTCCCTAAAGAAGTTCTCCAACGTATCACATTTTCCATTTTTGTATTCATTATAAAATCTAAAAAAGAAGTATTATTAAGTTTTCATATCATAAGTGCACTATGTTTAAATGTTATTTACTTGATGAAGTTTGTTGTTGAGTCATAATTATATGCCTGAAGTAAAGTCTGTACTTCATTTTCAAATTGTCTGGTCAGCTCTTCATATTCCTCAATGGAGCTGACCGTAAGGGGTGGCCTTGAACTACCCCATTTCGGCAAGGGCACTGGCTGACCAATTGGCCAGTCGGCCGCCTTCTGGCCATAGTTCAGCCAAAATGTATACTCGTCGTCATTGTTGTGGTTGTCAGGAGAAGGCCGGGTTTCGAGTCAACTCGGCCATTCGTTTCCCCATCTACCGACTGTTGGTATGTAGCTGGATTCATCCCTGTAGCAGCTGTCTTCTGCAGCGCCAACAGGCCCTTCTACTTCTAATAATTTTTTCTCACGCTCTTTAAACATAAATAAAATAAACGTTAAGATGCGCACATAATTTAAGTTGCTATCCTAAATTATCAATATAATTTATATCGATGTAACTATTTTTAGAAATTAATGGTGAATCAAAGGAACACCTGCATGTTAAATTATCAAAGAAATGAAAAAATAAAAATTCTAAAAATGTTGATTAAAAAATAATATATAAGTGAACAACAATAGCAGTATTATATATATTGTATATTTGTATTCATAAAAAATTGTAACAGGAATTGTTGTTACCTACATTTAATATAACTTTCAACAATTCAATTATTGTGACATTATAAATGTTGTTGTATTATGTACATACTGTCACATATTATAAACGTATATAAAAACTCATATACGTATTATGTAATGAATTATATAAATGATTGTATCTATATTCTAAAATACAATACATTGAATTTAGAATATGACATCATAATTCATCATAAATTTCAAAGAATCAATAAATTGTTTTTTAGAATAAACAGTGCTGCCTATAGTACGATATATTTTAAGTTAAAAATGTTAAGTAAAATGAAACGACGAGTACAATGTAATGATAATTCAGCAACTAAAATTATTTTCAGAAATAAAATGTTTAATTTGTGCGCGTACCAGATACGTCATTATAATTAATAAATTATACCAAACAATTTACAAATAATTGAGATAAATTCAACATTTATGTAAACACTCATAAATCTATTAATAACGTATGATTCATTTAAATATTAAACAAAATTACATACCTACATAATATAATATTATTGTTCACTAGTAAATTATTCAAGAGGAATTATTATGTACCCTAAAAACTGCAATTGTTGTTAATATTTCTCTCGTAGAAAAATAAACGACGGCAGTAACCTATTATGGCGATATCTCGATGAAAAAAATTTAGACGAAAGTGATTAAACTCCAACTACAATTCAAGACGATAAAAAGTCTCCATAGAACTATAAAATTAAATACTCCGAATGATATTTTATTTTATGATAATCATAATACCAATGATGCGTGTTGCGTAATATCGTTGATAATAATTAATATATATACTTAAATTGAGGAAAATCAATGGTAATAGCGTCTATATTACACGACGCGTATACGATTAATAGTAATAATAAAAGTAATACATTATTCCTTTTATCACATAATCGTTTCGACACACCACAGTTTCGAAACTCGTAGTAAGTAAGTTAGTAATTACAAACTGGAAATTGTAATAATTCTATAAAACAGTTATTGGTGGGCACGGGTCAATTTCAATTAAATTAATCGATACTCGGTGATTGGACACGGCAATGCATTATTAACATTGAAAGGCAAGCACAAATCTCGATTAGGACAGTAAATTACAAATAATAACTGTTGTAGTGGAGTAGTGGACAACGAACGGCACTGGAAAGTGCGGGATCGTGGTTTAAGAATATCGTGGCGCGAACCAAATATTGAAAGACATAATTGGGCCAAGGAATTCGAACTCACTCTTCCACGGTCCCATAGTCGTTCGGTGGTAATATACGGGTGTGAACATTGACACAGTTATGTCCGTCCGTGACCGCGGTACGTTAATACATAATATTATACTTACCCGTCTATTATAATAATATGTATATTAATATTGTTACACACGGTCACTGGAAGTCAGGACCGAACTGTAACGAATCCGCGGTACGGAATGGACGTGGTGGGCAAGACCGATGCAAGTAGGTGGCGAGAAAGGACGGAAATAATAAAACCACTTAGCACCTACGCGTTTCAATGCCAGTGTGGGACTCTACTCGTAATAATATAAGGTTGATATGCCATTAGTCGTTAGTGAACTACAGTGGTCAACGTCGTACAGTACCAAAATATATTATCACAATCTCTAGGTACGTCGAGCCCGACAAAACCGTAATAATAATTTTACAAACGACGCATCGCACCGTCACGACTTAAGGGTATTGCGTTACAAAATTACAATATACCTATATTATGATTATTAATTATAATTACACTAATGTTATAACTAATATTGTAGCCGACACTCACCCATACAACGAAAACACACGACTTGAAGAATACCTTTGCACTCGTGGCCGTTTGCGACTATGAACAACCGTTGATTAACACTGGTGCCCGTTCCCCGACGAGCGGAAATATTTATACGGTTTTTACGCGACCGAACGCGGTGGGGACGGGGGGCTGTGCGTACGGTTCGGGCGGACTGGTTGCGCGTTCCCCACTGTCTGCGACCTACGTAGGAAGGCAAACAACAAATAAACAAAACAAACGAAAGGGCACAGCGGAAGGGAAAACGAACGCGTTACGCGTGAACACTTAATTAATTGCGATTATTAAAGGCTGTTGTTTAATGCGCACTGCGGCAATCGTCGATTGCACGAACCCGGACGGCCGCCGCGTGTCGGTGTTGTTAACAACAATAACAACAATCACCAATTAAACACGCGTTTGAAACGGGACGACACGACGTCCGAAGTCCAACAGTAACAATTGTACTGAAGTATGACGATCGCTACACGTTTAACGTGTGGAGATATCGTCATCGTTGTCGTTATACGGGCGAAAACTGGAACATTACGCTCGAGAATTAATAATATTTAAGTAAAAAATACCGTTGCCGATTAACTGGGACAACGACGGACAAACACTTGGTTCGGCCCCGACGAGTGACGTACTCAGCACTGTCGTCACGCCACCGACGACGTTTTATTAATTACAATTTTGTAAGAGGAACCCTTTTATAAATTCGATCGTTTCCCGTACCACTGATTGATAACAATCGTGATAAGGAGGACGAAAAAATGGCGTAAGCCTGGAATGCCAACAGTGTAGGCAGCCGAAAATAAAAAATGCCGCCAAACGTAGGGTTAAAAAAGTTCCGCGACAACGGAATATTTACCACTTCGCTTCCTCATAGGCGGTCCCAGGATTTTACTTCAGGTGCAGCCGTGCAGCATAGATGGTTAATTTCTAAATGTTAGGGGTATTGGGAAATGGGAATGTGTACGAAGTTAGATTTACCATAGATAATAAAGAATATATATATCTATGAGATTTACTGAGTATCGATGAACCATAATTTACTTTAGACTATTACATATAATTTTTGAAACTAGTAAAATAGTAATTTCCTTTCCTCCGAACTTGGTTTTTCTTCATATTATGATAATTATAGATGTGATCGCGCGTGACTATAAATACCACCAGGTTAGGTTATTCTGTGATACCACTGTTAGCCTAGGGTCTTCCTCCCTTTAATTCTGGCTTGATCATCAGATCTACGAGCTAACAACTATCCAGTGTTAGGTAAATTACTTTCGATAAGAAACTAATTACGTTACCTACTTGGCTACTTATTACATTTAATATTTTTATTTAAATTACATAATTCGCGTTTCCCGACATTATTTTTATCACGTTATGTTACTTTTTCATTCAAAAAGTAATGCGTAATGAATTGTTACTTTTTCAAAATTTAACGACAAATTCAGTCTATAACGAATGCCGAATGTAATAAGAAGTAGGTATACTATTAATTATTATATGTAAATTGTATAGTAGTATATGTAATACATTAATTATGTAGGTACACTATATTGATAATGGATGGATGTAATACACATGAATAAAATACGTAAAATGCCTGCATATTTTATAATATTCATCATTATTATCTAAAATTTTCAGAATGGTAAATACATTTTACCGATTTTTAATTTTTCTCGAATATCTTAACCCTTAGTCTATGTCATGGACTCTACATTCATAACTTATTTTAATAACGTGGAAAATAACACGTTGCTCCAAAGAAATTACTTTTATAAGAAATTTGGTTACAATTGCGTTAATTTAAATAATATATAATAAAATTACTACAGCGTTACTGGCTACTACAATAGTAATTTGTATTCTTCGTTACGTTACTATCCAACACTGAAACTAACAAAGTAACAACTAAGTTCATGATCAGAACAATATATCGTGAAATAACAAAGATATAAACTATAAAATATCTACCTTATGAGTTATGAATAGTTATATGATTTCAACCAATAAAATAAAGTGGTGGTTGTAATGTCAGGTGCAGCACAGGCTGCAGAGGCTGCACCCGTAGGACCGCCTATGCGCTTCCTCCATAATATACTTTCAAGTAATATATTAGCATACATTTTACTCGCTCACTTGTCACAATTAACTAAATAATTACAAAAAAAGTCAACGTATTTAGTTTTAGCCATGGTTAGGTTGTACAGTGTACAACGCTACTAGAGACGACGAGATTTTGCAGCGTCAACGGGACACATTTCAATCACGTAAATGTAAATTATAATATCTATTTAATACTTAATATAATATTTAATAATAATAAATATTATATTGCACACGTTAAAGATCAAACACCTATCGGCTGTCATTGTCGTAGTGGATTCGATTCAAAACGTACCTATTTCCTAAAAAATCTTCAAAATTAAATTAACGATAATTTAAAAATATATTCGAGTATAAAATCAAACACATCTCTAACTATTACAATTATATATTATCAGATATTTTTCTTTCTAAAGTCCTACAGTTTATAATATATATATAAATATATAGTTATTTTAATATTTTAATATTTTATCCTATATAGCTATACTCTATATCCTTATAAAATACAAATATTATTTTATCATATACGTTGTGAAAATTATTTCAATAGTCGTTTGTATGTGTATATAATATTATTCACCTATGCCGAATTTGAAATTACAATATCAAATGTTTATTATATATTTAAAGGATTCTTCAAATAATAATGATTATAATGAGCTCGGAGCTTTAAGGATAAATCAATATACATGGTAATTCAAATAATGCAAGTAGGTACTCATTTTATATCGATAAACAAATTGTCTACATTCCAGAATATTTCCATTATATGTATTATAATCTTAATTATAACGAAGTATTGTAGTGTTTGAATATGGTATAACAATCAGGGTTTCTATTATACATTAATTCTATAATTACCTTATTCGATGAAAAAAAATTACGGCTAAGTTGATAATTCATATAGCTCATAGCTGCGGTAATAAAATGTTATGAATAATATGTAATTAGTATTACTATTTACCATATATTATAGTTTGCAGTGGACTATATTATATTTATTATACATTTATAACAGTTACTATTTAGTACTTACTAGTTCGGTACTTAGGTATTAAGTATTAACCTATTTACCTATAAGTTTATTAATTAAAACTTAATAATAAATAATAATGTAATACTTATATGCTATATCATCTATATTACGTGTATATATGTACTACATTTACTATATACTCACTATTTACTTCTTTAGTTCTATACAGTACCTATACGAATAAGTAATTATAAGGATTAAACACGATAAATTAAAATGTCATTAATTGTAAGGCCCTTAAGACATAAAAAAAATTAAAATGTCCTCTGAAGTAATATTCTGTTGCATTAGGTATTATAACATAATACAATAAAATATTATGTATAGATTAATTGTCATATTGATATTATTATAAATCAAGGTTTTGAACTTGCATTGTAGACTTTATAGAACTTAATTTAATTAATTTTTCATGCCTTCTGATAGGTTAGGTTAGAGTTAGGGTCAGGGTTAGCCGTTAGGTTAGGTTTCCTAACCACCTTAGGCCTCTACCTTATCCCTATATGACCTTACTACATATTGAGTTGGAAAGTTTAAAAGTTTTTCTAATTAAATATTTTGTACATTTTCAAGAACAGTTTCTGTAGTTAGCTGTGACTTATGTATTTTTAATATTTCACACAATTCTATTGGTATCATAATCTACTATCTGGTATGTTATAACTGTTCTAAATATAATACCTTTATAAGCTACAGTCATACTATACTTTTATTACATGCGTTGCACTTATGTGCGAAATAATCCATTGGAAAATATTATAAAATATAAATTAACCTAAAATACTTTAATAAATAAAATATAAGGTGGGTAAGTGTGTACACCTCTGTTGTACCTTGTGCCATTGTAGGTGTCGTGTGAGTCACTATGTATACCTGTTAAATTTGAATTTAATGATAATATATATTATCATATCATGAAAAATGATTTTGAACGTAAACGGTCTGCCAGTCAATATATACTACTAATTAGTTAGTATATATATTATATACTTAAGTACCTATATTATATGATATATTAATGTTAATTAATCAAAGTAATTTATTAGATTTTGCTTAAAACTAGTTTTGAGTAAACATTTCCGTTTTTCCTTCATTTTTTTTTTAGATTTTTAGTGGAGCGATGAATGTATTGATTTTATAGCCGTGTGTTTTCTTTTGTGTCTGTCATCTCTTTTTGGGTGGCAGTGAAAGTGCTTCTGTTTTCTTCAGCATCTTTTCTGGTAGCTGGTAGGAAGATTAATGTAGTTGGTACTTTGGAGGGTCAAACGTTAAAAGTAAAAAATTCCCAATAGTTTTCAAAAGCGGCAAGAAAATCAAACTAACAATTAAATAAAACGGGAATTTTTACAGAAGCCCGGTTTTGACAAAGTCGATTTTTGTTTTTGATGTACCTAACTTAAAAAAAAAATACCATAGATTCATGAAATTTTCATTGAATGTGTATAATCACATTTTCTATACACCATACAAATTTCAAAATATTTTGACTTGTGTTGAACTATTTATATGGTCATGTAAAATTTTCGATTATTGTTATAGTTTTTTCAAACTAATATCGATAAAAAAATTTTCGCTCTGTCAAAAAACTTGAAATGTAATACAATATTCCTCAAGTTGTTGTTAGTGGAAAAAAATAAAAAAAGTGAGCGTAAATCCACAATAATTTTTTATGATCATTTGAAGTTGAAGTTTTTACTAAATTGGATATTCACTCGATTTCTCATCACGTATGTATCTTATTATTTTGTATGATTGTAGATACTTGAAATTTACACCATTTGTTTATTTTATCAATTCATATATTTGACTAAAATATTTTGACGCGTTTTCAGCTGTTAACTTAAAATTTTCGACTTTTAAAATTTTTTTTATAAATGGCAATAAAATTGTATTTGTTTTGTTAAAAAGCTTGAAAATTTAATACAAGGCTCCTTGTATATTGTTACAATATTCGATGAAAAATATTAAAAACATATACGCACGATTTTTTTTATATGCATTGAAAGTTTAAATTTTGACAACTTTTATAGCTAAGGTTCCACATAAGTAGGTTATTCTGTAATCAAAAAATCTAAAAATACGTAAGCACAGTTTTTGTATAGTTGTTTTATGTTTAAATGTGGACGAAATAACATATATACCAAGAATAATGATTTAAGTTATTTTGTTGTAATTTGTATATATATTATTCGTGGGTACGTACTTGAAGCTTTTAGAGTATATTATTCTATTTTATACACTTGATGACTTTTCAAATGTATTTCTTTTGGCAAAAATGAATTTAATCTACTAAGTAGTACTAATGCTTATTAGCAAAATAAATTACCCTAATCACAATAATATCATCAAATATACTAAATTACTATAGGTAATGTTATTGGCTGACAGATTGTCTTTGTTCATAATCGTTTTTCGTATACCTACAATGATTTTACATCATTGAATTAAAATTTAACACCATCCATAACAGTGACCTAGTTGTAACTTTCTGTACACCAGAGCGACATCCACTAACCCGTTTTTTAGTTTTTCTATTATAATTTGAAAAATGTGGGGAATATTTACTACTTAAAAGTACCAACTAGATACAATTTGGTATCAGAAACCTGCGCTTTAAAAGTTGAAAATCGTAGTATTTTTTCAACTACTTTTAGTGTATAAAGATATAGATATATAGATATAGAGCGTACCTATAGACACAAAAAAAAAACCATTACAAAAATCAATTCACAGCTCAGAATCAAAAAATGGAAAAACATGAAATAACATGGAATAATAAGAATGTATAAAATATATTCGTACAAATAATCTTATATTAAAATGCACATTTTGTACATTTTAGTGCATATTTGCATACTGATTTTTTAGAACTACAAGTCCTCACGCCTCTGCCCTACTAAAAACTGAACATGTTGAGCAATAACCATCTTGTGATATTTATTTTTGAGTTACACCAAAACACTAAAATCGATTTTATCACAAACTGGCTTAAAATGTAGAAAAGGAATGTCAATACATTCATTGCTTCTCTCAGAATTTAAAATATAATTTATTTGAAAAGGAAAGAGTAGATTTTAATTTATTATAATATTTATTAACTATTGCACATTTCCATAGTTCCATTATTAGTACATGTTTGTTAAAACTATTGTGATGGAAGTAACATACGTTATTTGTGATGTTTATGTTTACTATTCTATCCTTTTACTAGACTATTATAATTATAGTGATGTTTACAATTTAAAAAGGAATTGCACCATTTCATGGCATGACATGTGCATGGTATTCTGTAAGCACACGCGTGCGCATAATTTAATATTAAGTGCAGCATAGTAATCAGTACAATCTAATAATTACGTCTTGACCTAGGTACAATCACTGAGTTTTTTTATTTATATACTGAAATATTTATTCTACGATGTAGATATTAACGATTTTTGATAACATAGGTTTTCGTATTTTACATTATGATAATATTGATATTTTGTACAAAAATTACGAAAACAATAATTTTATCAAATAAATACGATTTACTCATAGACATAATTATTATATAAACAATATATATATGTCTATGGATTTACTGCAGTTGATATCATAAACATTTATTTCTATGGTTGATACCAATAAGCCACGATAGAAATCTTGAGGATTAAGCATGATAGCCCATAGGTAGTGTTTTAACTGTTGAGGAATTATAGTCTATAGATAAAGACTACTATTTACTAACTTCAATTATTTAGTTAGATCACCCTTGCATACCTAGTATATATAGATAGGTAATTGGGTTGCCAGACATTAATTTAAGTGGGTGGATTATAAGAATATGGTTTATTATAGATAGAATCGCAGTATTGTTTACTGTGGGAATAAATATAAATAACACTCATTGGTAGGAAATTGATGGAAAATATTAAAAACGTGGGTAATTTACCAATTGTTATTGTGTAGGTGTTGGGACACCAGCATTGGACGTTATTAAGTATAAACATAGAAAGTCCAATGTTAACTAATAATTAATAACACTATGGTAGTCGGTGATAACTAACTGGTGTACACCACAACTTATTGATGAGTAGTTTTAGATAATGAAACTGCGCCACTCCACGTCATTTTTTATATCGCAGTATA